GGCCTATGCCCCAAATAACCCACACATATTGGTAAAGATAATGACCCTACAAGTGTGTACCATTTAAACTGACAACAGAAGTTTGTGCATACGAATGGGGACCGAGAATTTAGGTCAGTACTTGGGCAGCCAGAGCGTTGCGTTGAGTGTGTTTGACACAGATCAATGGATGTGTGGGAATGGCTTGAGAGTCGTAGGGGATATGGGTACTGACTCTAAACATTGGTGTCTGGGTGCAGATGGGAGGAAGGAGAGTAATTGAGATACGTGTGATAGTGTCTATCTGTCTCCACTATATATATATATATATATATATATATATATATATATATATATATATATATATATATATATATATATATAATAGTATGACTTTCCATCTCTTGCACTAACCAGACAGATAAATGATAGGAGACATTGTCTCCTGGTCTTGAGAGTACACTCTGAGGAATGAAACAGAGGAGCAGAGATGGAGTAGGCTGATGTGGGATGGTAACTGATGCTTATTCTGAGTCTTTCCTGTCAAGATGATACCCTCTTAGTGATGACTAATTCTGCGTTCTTTCCTGACAGGATGAAACCTTTGTGAAGAGCTGGCAGAATAATCACAGTCCAACCAACTACCAACCAGCGAACACCAGTGAAGGTACCTGGCATCATCATCATGGGGTGCCATATACCCCTAACATCCTAACAGTGCCAGAGCATGTGAGTGAACTCCAGAGCAGATGAACAATTCTAGAGAGTATATCCATACTCGAATAGACTAGTCTTCATGAGCTTGGTGTAGCTCAGAGACAATATTGTGACCGGACCAGTGGGAGAGACTTGCTGAGTACCTATACAGTTTCTGTGTCCTCTATGGTGAGGTACTCCTCTACTACCTGATCCACTTGAAGCAGAATTACCAGAGTCAAAGACAGTCAAATCTTCAGGAGCTGAGGGAAGCATCAACAGTAGAACTGGGATAAGTGCCAGTTTGATTCTATGTCATGCTATATTCCCCACAGCTCCAATGGATTCCTAGGATGAGACAGTGTTACCTCCAGGACTTTCTGGCTGTTTAGATTTCTGTTGAGTCTGGTCATTGTGTTCTGGGAACCTTCCACTGAGATCTGGCGTCTACTTCACTATTATATATATATGTTGTATTGATTACATGCATTCATTTTCATGGCTGACTTAGGTGTCTCTATTTCACCTTTCTAAGTGTTTAGCATTGTTGTGTGTATGAACCTTAAATATTATATGTGCTAACATGGTTATGATAGTAAACTATCATAACCTAGGAGCTTTCTTTTTATAGTAGTGGGGGTGTCCAGCCAAGTGTGCCTAGGAATATTATATTCATATACAGAAATATTTTGTAGTGCCAATACTTGAGTTGCCCTACTCCAGAAATAAGTTGAGCGTATATTGGCCATGGGGTATCCCTTAGACCAATAGGAACCAAACGACTCAACATAATTATTTCTGAGTGCTGTTGGTTCTTAAGAAGAAATCCTTAAATCAGGCACGTGACAGGAGTGATATGTGACACTCAGAAAAGGGCACAACCGATTACATAACCACATGTACACAAAATTCAAGATAGGCGTAGGAGCCATGCGCACATGTGGAAAGGTGCCCCAGGCAGCAGAGCATGCACTCCAGACTGCACCGAATTTGACACATTAAGGCAAACCTTTTGGTCAGAAAGAACAGTGGACCGTAAACTCTATGGACCGCTGAATTAGCTAACAACGACAGTGAAATTTACTTTCTGATACAGACGTTGCTGATATAGACAAACTTATTTTATGCGAATGAAAGAAGAAGAGGAAGTCTAAGATTCGAAATTATCTGGCAGAATGGAAGTCCAGCATATACATGATTCACTGGCAACAGTTCTGCTTGCTACTGAACTGAGCAATGCAGGCTGATCGAGAAGTTCAATGTTTAGTGTCTATATTTCATGTTGATTCCGAAGCTCTTCTGGCCACTGCTAGTGTATCAAGTTATCGCGAGAGCAGTGGGGCAATGGAGCGGAAAATCAACACCTCTACGAGGAAGTGGCTAGGAGAGCCGCCTTTTTAATCGACCGGCACTAAATTGTAGGCCGGCTAAGATGGTCCGTTCACGTCAATAACCGACAAGTTAAAAATCGGCAAGGTAACTTTCGCCATAATGCTGCGCGAGTCATCAGAAACCACAATGGCAGCTGTCCAGACCCCTCTAAATATAGGTTAAAAAAATGAGAGGTCGAAGATTCAATATAGAATCATTACGCACTAAATTGCAGGAAGTCATGGGTTACAAACAAACCGACCGACGCGGCCTAGGGGATGGAAAAGTTACTTAGTGGTCCAAAGCCTTGGCCAAAGAACGTAGATATGGTAACACAGCAGATCAGAGACTACCAAAACGAGATTCGGTTCCAAAAAGCAGTCCAACAGTCGCAGCAATGCCATTAGATCAACGTGAGATCTGGCGAATTTCCCCTCAGCCGCTGAGCTTTGTCATAAGATCTGTTTACGACGTGTTACACACTGGCGCCAACATGGCCAAATGGCGTGCGACCACCGACCCAACATGTCCCTTATGCAGAGCTAACCAGACGCTCTAGCACGTATTGTCCGCGTGCAGAAAAGCCATAGGTCGGGGACGATACACATGGCTCCACTATTAGGTCCCTAAAGCACTGGCGGACAGTGTGGATAGATGTATGCTTTTCGGTTCTTCACTCATATATATGCAAACATTCCCCAAGTCGACCTTCTCACGACTAACTGCGTTCTCTAACAGGAGTACATGACGAACACAGTTCACATAGTCACATCTATCTCTAACAATGTCACCAGTATCACGCAACACATCAGAAGGCACCTGTCATAGTGCTTCAGTGAATGTTATTAATCCGCAAGCATAATGGGACGACGATTGCTTTTAAACAAAAGAAATATGACGTTCACTAAACATTATATTTCTCTGTGGAAATAAACAATACACATGTCCACAACCCAAAGGCGAGTACGCCCATGTGCGTCCGTCATCTATTGATAAAAGAGAGGCACTGTCTTCCTTCACGAGTAGAAGTCATCAGCTAGCCTTCAGGTCCGCAATTCCCATGAAGCTGCCTGTGGTTTCCTGTGAAAGTGTAGAGCCACTTGTTTAGCGTGGACCCTTTGTACTCGTCCCCATTCTAATATAGCAACATGGGCCGTTTGCATTCGTCCCCATCCCTATTATTATCATCATCTAGAGACTTTAAGACTAGTGCATGTTATCACGCAACTGTACTCTGGTACAAGTGACCAGCAAATGAATTCAGTACGCAACATGAATAAAGCCAATGCGAGGGCCAGTCATACCCCCCTCCCAATGAGCCTCCTCAAGGCTAGGCAGATTTATTAAGGTAAAGTCAACAAAGTCGCACATGCTCCACCCATACTCGATTGTACGAGGGCCTGGTTACTGGCGGTCGACCTGCCTAGCTTCGAAAACAACCCAGAATCAATCCGAAGAACTGACATGAAACCATACATAGTTCTGCACTCTTGCGGCAAAAGGCCAGCTCGTCCTGAAAGAGTCGAGTCGCGTACGGAAGAAAATAACATGTACAAGCTAGAAAAGTACAGTGTATCAGACGGTGGCCAGTCTGATAAGCGATGAGTCGTACACAGTAAAACTCCTTGCCTTCCAGGTAGGCGCAAGAGGGCTAATCTCTATCGTCACATAGAATGTACTAAAGGACCTGGGCTTGCAACAGGTGTAAACAGACAATATAACAATTGGGGGAGGCGGCTTAAAGGGCTTCGAGCTGGCTGTGGACATGACGGAACGCCGTGGGGAGATGGGCTTCGGTAGATTTGAAAAGAACATCTCTTAAAGCCAAAGTTTTCGGTTAACGTCTGCAAGTTTATCTTTGCCAACTGTCAAAGTCTCACGTCGGTCTGATGAACCAACCTTTCAATTGTCACTCTGGTCGTGAAGTAGGTGGCTAATTTGCTACCTCAGCGACGATATAAAACACCAAACATCACAATACTTGTTACAAAGCCAATATTGTCTTGTACAAACGTCCATTGAGCGCAGCAGATGTCCGAGACCTGGGAATCTTGACCCAGATCGACCCACCCTCTGAAATTGTCTAGAATAATATGCCGAAAAGGCTATTAAAGAGGGATGAACGGTAATTTTTTTTGAGCTGTTATCTAATTATCTTTTTATTGGCAGCAAATTAAATTCATGAGTACAGTTCAAGTAATGTAATTCCAATAAAAGTTTCACAACTACATCCCTGCGGTTGTCCCCATCAAGCACACACAATTAACACTGTCAGGTCACCATCAACACATGTTGGGAAACAAGTATGTGGAATATGAGCACATTTATCCCTTCACTAAATATGCTGCTCAGAAAGATCCACGGTATATTACAGATGAATAATGTGGCTAATAGGTAAGTCGCAGGAGCACATAAAGCAACATTTGTTATTCGACTATCCATCTATATAAATATACAATACATGGTAGCCTTCTGTTGTGATCAAACTGTTCAAGGCAGTTCAATGTGTACTTTACAGAAGCAAAAAGCACTAGCCTCACTTGTCAAACAATAATGAGATAAAAGAAATGGTCTCCCATTTTTTGTTTAAATGTTTCAATATATTTTGTCAGGTGATTGCCTGCATCTCATGTTTGATATTTAGATTTTGCATGTTTTCAATAAATCTACAACCTCATACATTTCAACAGAGATCTGTGACAAATATTTCAATGGCAGGCATTCAACATGTGTTTATCTTGTGTGTCTTGTCCACTTTCATATGCAGTGAACAGAACATGTTCAGTTTAATAGTAACTTCTCAGCTTGGCTATACTGATGGAAAAATTGGTTTTAAGTTAGGTAGATAGTTTGCAGATTATTGACAAGCATGGATAGGTGCAACAACTGGAAGCACATGTCACTGTATTTATGCACATTTTATTGTTGTATTCAGGTAACAAACACAGAGGTTCTCATTGATCTTGCTGTTCACCTTGATCTTGCCCGTGTCGAAATCCTCTGTTAAGTCCATTATTGTCTTCTGGCAGAGGATTGTAGTCATCTTGATCGGCAGGAGGATCTAATAAATATTTTAAGAATGCTGGTGTTTTTAAAACTTTAAATCTTCCTTGTTTTTGTGGAAACACATCTTCCAAGAAAAAATACACATGCCCTATTGCAATACCCATAAGATTAATAATGACTGAATTTCCCAGAAGTAATGAAAATCCGAGCAGAACCCATGGTAAAAATGGTGCCTGAAAATTCATCAAAGCAAAGAAATTCAGCCTATGTAAGGATTTCGTCTGCTCTAAACATAAACCAACATAATAGTAAATGCACTGCCTAAGAACACAAGGTTCACAAACAGTGCCATAATAATCATGAAGAAGCCACCAAACAAAAACATAAAAAAAAAAAAAAATCAGCAGTTCTCCCTCTGAATGAACCTTCCTCAAGCATCCGGCAGTAACGGTAGGCAAATATCATGTTGAACAACAAGTTGAACCCAATGGGACCGAAATATAGGAAACTGGTGACTAGCCTCCATAACTGATACTGTCTGAATATTAATTCTGGATTAAAATATATCTGGAACGGACTGACCAGATCCAGTTGCACTTTTAATGTAGTTAAAACGCAGGCTGTCGTATATGCCCTTGTTATCGGAGGCATTTGCATGTACTCCTGCTGAAATGTCTGCGCTGCCATTTGTTCAGATTTTAGTCACTACCTGACGATTGTAGGAAATAAGTTTCTACGTGATGTTGTTTCTTGCGGAGACCCGGCACATTTAAAATAACCAATCTCAGACCTCTTATTTCTGAACTAAATAAAAACAGCAACTATTCCTTAAACAAGGAAGCATACAATTTTGGAAAACTTAGAATCTTGAAATGTTTGGTTGGTTGCTATTCCTATCTTGTATCTCAGGAAAGTTAATATTGTTTGAATGGTCTGCAGGAGCTGGTCTAATTTTCTATGAAGCTTTTGAAATTGTCATCGTCGTTTCCTCGTTTGCTCTCCTCCGGGCTTGAAAATAAGGAGTCTAAGTCGTTGAAGATTGGGAGGGGCGGGGCGTCCCCTCTATAGAGAGCACGTTGCCTTATATGCTCTTGTCCCCCTGCTTCTCAGCCTGCATGTGTCATTCCTCTTCGGAGTGTGTTGGTTAAGGGAAACCCTCTTTTATTTCCCCCGTGCTGTTTCTTCTTTTTTCTGCCCTCCTCTTACGCTGCATTCCACTTTTTTCTTCTCTCGTGTAGACTTTTCGGGAAACCCTCGTTTCCCCTTCTATCTGGTCTGAGTCGTGTTCAGTTCAGCTTAGAGGGGTGTGGAGCAGGCCGCAGAACTGTCCTGTTCTGCCGATGGAAAGTTGTCTTGCGTCATTCCCTTGACCGTCTGGCTATCTTTTTCTGCTGAGGTTTGTGATGTCCCCGCCTCAATGGTTTCCTTCGTCATTTTGGGTGCTGCCATGCTGAGTATCGTTTCGCACTGGCTGTCCACCTGTACTGGCTTTTTGGACAGTGTCTTTCTCTGTGGTAGTCTTTGCCAGCACCAAAAGATATTTATCTCGCAGATGCTTCTTAATTCTGTCGGTGGGGGTGCATGAGTCCCAGGGCTCATCAGAGCCGCAGGCATGCCTTGCACTCTTTTCTTCTACCCGGCACCGTGATAAAGAGCTGATGCTGCTTATTCAGCATATCTGGGCCAAACACGTTAACGTAGTTAACAAGGGCCCCCTATTATTCATTTTGTAAATTAACAACCTGGGAAATATTATCCGTCTTGAAGTTGGCTAAGAATTTCTTCACAATGTCTTCCAGTCCCGTGGCCATCATCCAGTCGATTGTGAGTCTTGTTCGTTCCTTTCCCTCTGCACCTCTAGACAGACTACTACCAGTTTCTTGTGTAAGCGATGGTAGCTTTGCTCGTGTGCTGTCTGCGTCAACGTACAGAAACACCTCGTCGGTTTGCAAAACGATATAGTTAGCCAGTCCCTCCTGTCAGAAGGCAGTCTGGTCCCAACATGGCGCTAGCTATCCAAGATGGCGAGGCACGTGCCACTGCACCTGGTGCAAAGATCGTCAGTACCAGTGTACATGCCATGTGTAGGCCTCCTGTGAATCTGTTAGCCGGCACATTTATGTTCACGGGCGCCATATCCAAAAGTCAAGGTTACCTCTTCTGAGGTGCCCGGTACTTGCTCCGCTCGTCTGCAGAGTCTAGGCTAGATCTCGAGGGCTTCCTTTTCCTTTGAAATAGAACTTGGATAGAAGGAATCAGGTTAGAAAACACAAAGGCATCCGTGAAATGTTAAGTAGGAAATATCCGCTTTCACAATTTTATGAATTCCGTAATCCAATATGAAAACTCGGCCGTACATTCGACAATGTTTAAGAAAGGCTCAGCTCGGCCTTCCAAGCGAGAAATGCGAAAGATTAGTTTTCGAGCACATATTCAATTTTTCAAATGTATTTAGCTTCAACAATGTCTTGTTTATGCCGCCCCAGCAACTGTGCGTGTCGTTCAACCTTACAAACGACCGTACAACAAGCGACCAATACACGGTGACACCAAGTACCACCATTCCGATGAGAATCACATGAGCGGTAGTCACCGAAATTCCCTTCAACCGTTGAGTTATATGCAAGACATCACACCCAGCAACAAACAACCGGTGACACAAAGTGCCATCTATTGGGTGAGGATCACTCAAGGACAGTGTCCTAGAAACCCCGTTCAACCCAGAGGTTCTGTTATACAAGTATTAGGGCTCCTGGCTTCAATCAGGGTGGGGGTTTTAAAACGACAAAAAAAATTGCAATTTAAAAAAAAGGATACACTCTATTTCTCAATATAAACGAGTTGCTACTGAAGTCACTGTTTAGTCACACAGTCCAAAACCTATGTCGTCTTCAGATTCTTCAGTCTTTTCTTCTTTCTTGCCTGCAGGTGCTGGAGCTGCCGCTTTGTCTGCTGGAGCTGAAGCAGCACCTGCAGGGGCGGCACCATCACCACCTGATGGGACTGAGGCTAACTTCTTGGAACCTTCAAAAATCAGTTCCTCAAGACTATCCCTAGAGGTCACTGGTGATCTTGTTGATTTTCTTATTTTCAGATTCAAGAAAACCAACAATCTAGGGGCATATTGTCTTGGCAATATATCCTGTCTTTCCTGACTTTTTACCCCACCAGGACATCACTTGTGTGTGTGTGTGTGTGGGGGGGGGGGGCGGGGCAAGAGATAACGAAAAATTAATCCGACATTGGGGCGGAATAATGATTTAGTCTTTGACTGACTGACTCTTTACCCCACTAGGACATGACACTGAGCAATAAACATCCGGTGACACAAAGTACCACAATTCGGATGGGGATCACCCGTGCAGAGGTCTCATAAACAACGTTTAATAGTTGGGTTATTACAGGGCTCCGGGCAACAGCCAATCATCAAACAATGAAAAATTCGTCCTACTTGGGGAGCAGAGTAAAAGTCTTTCGAACAGGTTAGCTTGAAATAGAAGGCCAAGGCGACAAGAGGTGGAAGACACAACAAAGGCATACAGCGGTTTGACCACTGCCGACCGCGCGAGTCTGTGAGGCGAGAGGTGCCAACCGTCTGTCCAACATCAAAGAGATCAGGGACTGCGCAATCTGATAATAATTACCCCGGCCACACCTAGGCTACAGGTGTTGGGGAGGGAAAGGGACGGGGGGGGGGAAGGGGGGGGGGGGGAGGAGATTTGCAGGATGGTCGAATACGTCAGCCGATTGGCGCTGCTTAAGAAGCCGGGATAGCGGCGTGTTTGGCAGTGTCCCTCACTGGCTTACTGTTGATACATCCCACTTTCTCACCACAAACACTCCCACTCGCTCGCACACATACACGTGGGCGCGCCACAGCATCGGATTATACGATTGTCAGCAAAATGCGGGAAGGAGATGGTGCGCCTAAAATACATTTTAGGCGTGGCCAACTAATTAACCGTTTTATCTCTGCAGATTTGCGTTCTACAGGATTGACATCTCTAGGATAAGAATAAAACTGCCACAATCTCAGAACTCTGTTCAGTGGTATAACGAAGTTATAGGTTTGGCTGCAATGAGAGTTATGGTTGTCCTGTGTGGCCAACAAAGGCTGCTTGCCAGTCATCCTCTGTAATCCTCTCTATCATAGAATATGCACTGACAATCCTCATTCCCAGCAAGACAAATCGACAGACTAGAAAAGATGATCCCCAAAAAAAAAAAAAAAAACAATAAACAATTGCATTCTTGAGTGCAGTCTGAACAATTTCACTCACGAAATTACACATTGAAAGCGTATGGCAAAATTACGCTCCTTTGCGTAGCAATGCTTTTCTTGCTATGAGTTGCATAACTAACAGAGCGAGTAAACTTTAATTTACATGCACAGACAGACAGCTAAAGACCAGATAGCACAAATAACTCACCCGCTGCCCACAGTCTTCTCTGACACAACGTCACACACCTCCATGATCCGCATAAAACCTGCTCTATCGGCAGGGTCTGTTGGTGGTCGCCGCTGTAGGGAACAAACAAAAAACCTGCAGAAGATTGCCAGCAGGAAGATTTCAACAGATTTATTGCCCCCCCCCCCCGGGAGTCGCCGTGGCAGAGCGGCTAGACGCGCGCCGCGGATGGGAAGGTCGTGGGTTCGCTCCCTGGCGGAGACGGACTTTTCTTCAAAAATGAACTTGGCTCCCAGGTCGACCCAGCCTTGAGTGGGTACCGGGTGCAATCCCGGGAAGTAGAGGCGGCCGGCGTGATGCTGACCACATCACCCATCTTGTGCCGTTGGTCTATAAAAATATAGGTCTAGCCCTATATGCCCTATACGCCTAAAGGCGTGGAAAGGGTCCTTTACTTTTTTTTTACTATTGCCCCCCCCCCATCCCCCCCCCGCCCCCAAAAAATATTAGAGCCCTCAGCAACAGCAGGGATGGGACTTGAAAATACAAATGCAGAACAAAAATATATAAATATATTTAGGAGCGGAAAATGCGTCCGTGCTGGGACGTGTAATGACAAATGACAAAAAAAAAAAAAAAAAATTTCCCCCTCAAATTTTTTGTGGATTCAATCATCATTAACATTTTTTAAATTTACATGACTCTGCCACCTTTGAGAAGCAACAATTTTTCACTACTGCTTTAGGCAAGGTACAGTGACAAAATAATACAGCCTTGTGTATGTCAGTAACAAAACAAATAAAATGAGTATCAACACTGAAAAGACAGAAGTAATGTCAATAGGAAAAAAGAAGACAGATCTAACTAAACATAGCAATAGAGTGCAAAGGCATTAAACAGGCATCTGAGTTTAAATATCTGGGAACTACATTTCCCGAAGATGGGAAATTGGATAAAGAAATTAACATTAGATGCAGTAAAGCAAACCGAGTATTGGGACAGCTAGCACCTCTCTTACAGCATAAGACAATCCTCCCAGTCAGCACAAAGAGACATCTTATTTAAAGCATATTTATTCCAACTCTGTGCTACCAGTGCCAGACATGGTCACTCACTACAAACCATAAAAGAAAATTAGTAACCACGGAAATGAGATGTCTGAGCGGGCTGTAGGAGTGACCATAAGAGATAAGATCAGGAATGAGATCATAAGTGAAAAATCGGCACAGAACCAATTCCGGATTACATAAGAAGACAGCAAGTGAAATGGTTTACCCA